AATATTTATATCATTTTTTACCTCTAATACAGCACTATGTCCAACTGTCTTTGGGCGTGCGCACGGCTTGCGGTGCGTGAGGTGTGTACGCGCTCTGGCGTAGTTTACGTTAATGAGTGTTGTCGCGGGAGGAGCAAATGACAGACACAGTGGGTGTGGCGTCAGGCCTCGGAGAGGCTTTTATTAACAGAAAATGAACAAAGTGTCCATAAAAAGGGAATAAAGGGTCCAAAATAAACTGGGGATCTGGTGTCCTCGTCATGTTGAGGGGTTCGTGAAGGGAAGGGCAGTGTTCAGGAAGGAAGGGTCCAGGTAATAGGCGGAGTCCGGCAACCCACGACTCTGGCGGCGCGGGAGTCCCTCTACGCACCCTTCCTGGACCCACGAGAACACCAGCGTGCATGCACGGGGAAGAGACCGGTCTCCTGAGGAGAGGCACGCTCGGCATTTAAACAGCGGCGGTGATGAGGCTCCATTCGGTTCAGGTGTGCCTCATCACACAGCCACCAGCCCTGGCTATTTCAGCGCCCCTCCTCTCTCACGCACCTACTCCTGTCGGGAGCCTGGCGAAGGGCAGCGATTAAGGGATGGGGTGATGCTGATAATTAGGGGGGAGGCAGCCGACTCGTCACAATGTCCGATGTATTATGCATTTTCTGGATCCATATTGGAGTTACAATGGTTTGAAGAACCATGTCAACCACATCTGCAGCTTTATACATGCAGTTCAACAATATGACCATCTTTCAAAGAAGATTCAAATTGTTAGCATTTTATGAATATGTGTTACAATTGAACAATCTGATAGGGTGAGGTGAGGGATTAGCAGTTATTTTTTCATATATGCTAAAGAGGTGAAAAATCTTTACATTTCCTGAATAAACTGTTAAACTCTTGTACAAACCAAGGTTTAATAGCCTACATGGTTTCTCTACAGGCGGTTCACAAACTTCTTGCGGCTGCGCAAACTGTCTTTTGGCGTTAAAATAGTACTGTCAGGTTTTACTAAAGACGGCCCGTGACGAATTAGCGCTGAAAAGGCATGGACAGTAATTGTTGTGCCTGACCTTATTGAATATGCATTTGTAGGAGTTTCCCTTTCAGACGCAAAATTTATGGGAGGAGAGTACTCAAATGAATCATACAATGAGATTTACTAACGTACTGGTATTTGTGCCATCATTTAATGCCTAAGCATGTCTTAAACTATTATTGTTGCTAGGAGGAGGCAGCGCAGAGAACAGAGACCGCGTGGTAGAAGGGAGAGGATTTTTTCCTCACGTATTAATTTATTTGGAATGCCAGAAGAACACATTATCCAAACATATTGTTTGCCAAGCCATGTTATTTTTAATTTGCTTCAGGAAATAAAAGACGACTTGGAACCCTCAACTAGGAGTCACGCAATACCAGGTCTATCAAAACTTCATGCAACCCTTCATTTTTTGGCCTCCGGTTCTTTTCAACATACTGTGGATTCTTTATTTCTTAATTCTTTATTTGCGACTACGCTAATTTGCACTACACTTGGTATATTGCGTTGGTCGATATGTAAATGAGATGTTGCGTCTGTGTTCTTTATTTTGCACGTTGTTAGTAAATCACCCGCAGAAATTTTGGAATTGCGCTCTCGCACTAATTCGCCCTGTTTAGTAAAACTGGCCCTAAATGTCTTAAATGCCCTGGGAGGGTGCAGAAAATGTTTATTTTGTTATTCTTAATATTAAAATCTGTGAAAAAGGAATTTAAAAAATAAAAGAATACAATGAAACAATGAAAAATTACAGTAACAACTATATAAGATCTTTCAGTTTGATATTTCATAAAGGCATGAGGAGATGCGAAAGACGAATCAACTCAGTGTTCGCGCACCGTCTGAAACGCGTCTCTCTGTGTGCGCGCGCTTTGCACGTGTGAGATGCGGCTTGTGTGCGCGCTTCAGGTGTGAGTCTGACAGCAAGAGGAGACGGCAAAGAGTTGTTTTCTGCAACTTATTGCACTTAACTCTTTTTAACGTCAAGCAATTCTCTGCTAGATGCATCGAACTAAAACTTTGACCTTTTGCAACGTTTTGATTTAAGTAGCCTATTATTAAAATGATTCAAATATCGCACGCCCTTGCGATATGCATATTGCGATATTTACATTTGCGATATTTCGATATATCGTGAAGCCCTACTATCCGAGATGTATGATATTTTTGACATATTAGAGTATATGGCACAAAAAGCATATTTTGTAAATTATGAATTTTTTTTTGTCATTTATCAGCAAATAACTTGGCACTACTTTGGAGTTAATCAGTTAATCAAAGAGGCTAAATGCATTGTAAAGCTTAGACTCTGAGCTTTCAAATGATATCCACTTTTTGTTGATCAATGGTGGCAGTGGTTTGAAAAATATGATTAGTTATATTTTCGAGGAGGGGGAGCGTCCCGCCTGCGGTACACTTCGGTTTAGAGGGACTGCTTAGCGCTCGTTAAGTAATAATTACATTCATTAAAAAGCTGAGATTCTAAGCTTTAAAATGATATATATTTTGTGCTATTCCATTCAGGGGTTGCTTAGTAATTTGATTATGAATTTTTTTCATGCAGGTGCGGGACACCTCGGGTTTAAAGGGTTAAGCATATAAATCGTCAGTTTGTTGTTTTACACAAATGCACACAGACATTATTTCATACACGACATAGTCGTGAGATGCATAAGAAATCTTTAGACACGTAACACAATCCATAACAACGAAAGAAAATACTACGTCGATTCTGGCACCCAACATCACAACAAAATGATATGTTGAGCTCCTTATGTAGTCGAATCTGTGCTAGTTTGAATTGGCCACCTCCAGTTTTCCTTTTGTTTTGCCTCCAGCTAGCGCTGTGACGTAATCATGACATCGGCACAAAAAGGGTTTATAGGGCTTTTTTTATGTTTGAGATCACATATTCTCACTCGTATTCATGAAGAACAAGAAACATAAGCAGCTCCCCACTCTTTTATATGATGAATGTTCCACGTGGAATAAAGAGGCCAGCACCAGTACCAGTAATACCTCTTTATATTGGTTTCTTGTCTGGTTAGTGAATAATACAGAAAACTCTTACAAAATTTCACCATGGTATTCAAAGATATGGCCAAAATAGTTGCTACAATTGATGTTTTTCAAATAGTGTTAGAATCTAAAATGTGTTAGAATAAAAGCGTCTGCTAAATGACTAAATGTAAATGCAATTATAATATAATTTACTCATAAATTATAATGAACAATATTCATTAATTCATTCAAATATGTAACAATTAAAATATAACCTAATTAATTGCATGATGTGCAGATTAATTAATCAAATTAAATCACAAATTAATCACAACAATCTGAGCTGAGAAATTACCCCCCAAAAAATATTCATCAATGCGTAAAAGAGAAAAGCACTAAAAATACATTACAAAAAATTAGATTATTGAATTTTTTAAATGAAATTATACTCTAAATATGAAACTAAAACTACTAGTAGGTGGCAGCTAGTCACTGTCTTAATTAGTGAGTCATTGAGTCATTCATTCAACTGATTCACTCAAATGACTGATTCATTTAGAAATAAAACCAAGGACTGTTAGTATGAATGTCTCACTGGATCACTGGCTCATTCGATTCATTCAAAAACGTAGATTCACTCAGTAATGAAATGCTGCTGTTTGTTGCTTGGAAATGCAAAACAGTTCTGCTGTGGCAATACTGTGACTTGCACAATATTAACTTGTTTATTGAACTGTTGTATAAAATCAATATCACGTTTGCAATATGTAATATTGATTTTATATATTTGTGTCATTTTTTGCCCTCATATCTTGAATTTATGGGCATATAACTGGATTCTAATATGCTACATTACGCAGTCAGTCAAGTCGTCCTGCATCATGTTCATCAGCAACTGCGTGCAGTGACAGGTGTGGGCCAGCCAAGTGCGTTAAATGCATATTTTTAACTATTTGAACACTTTTTACCGCTATAATTAATCACAACAAATTAATGTGTTAAATCGACAACCCTAGTATAATTGTGCTAGATTAAAAAAGCCACCTATCATCTACAATCATATTCATAATTATATCAATATTATTTTGTACATAATATTGAATACAATCTGTATACAATCCAGTGTATATTGTGTATAATATGTACACACTGCTATGGCATATTTCCTCAAAACACAGCTAGATGACAGGTATATTATTGACTGAAATGTGGGTCAACACAATCAAGCTTTCAGGTTAGCAGAGACCAAAAAAATTAAGACTAATGACCAGTGTTGGGGAAAGTTACTTTTAAAAGTAATGCATTACAATATTGCGTTACTCCCTAAAAATACCCCCAACACTGCTAATGACAGGTGAAAGCTATTCTAAGCAATGTTTGTATTATAACACTGTAGGCCTAAAAGATGATTAATTGACATCTGTAACTGACATCTGGTAAGCCACTCTTCCTATACGTGGATTTACACTTTTTGATGAACAGGATCATACATTTATCATTACTCTCACACAGCCAGGCTTTTGACAAAGAGTATGAAGTGTGGACCAGTCTGCAGCTTATTCTGGCTATGAATCACCCACACTGACAGGAAGAGTGTGTCTGACCGACATAAAAAGCGGTCAATTACAGTTTTCACCAGCGCTGAATTACCCCTTTCAGAATCCTGGACGCAAGCAGTAGGTTATCCAGCTAGGTATTTTTTGCCCACTGTTTTTTGAAAGCTACATACACTCACCAACCACTTTATCAGGTACACCTGTTTAACTGCTCATTAACACAAATATCTAATCAGCCAATCACATGGCAGCAACTCAATGCATTTAGGCATATAGACATTTTCAAGATGATCTGAAGTTTGAACCAAACATAAGATAGGGGAAGAAAGGTGATTTAAGGCCTCATTTACACAGCAGCTATTGATGCCCAATTCCGATTTGTTGACTATACACATTTTTTTCTGACGACCAGCTTACATCTTTTAAAAGTGACCAATATCTGATATCAGTAGAGATTTTTGACTATCATTACATGCTCACATGACGTTGCTGTGCTACGTGGTCACGAAAACATATCATTTGCAAGTGTTTTTAAGCATTGCTGTTAAAAAACAAGCGATTTTAAGCTATTGAAATGCAATCAGCAGCGAAAGAGAACTCATTTCGCTATATGCGCGTGTGAAGACGGTGCTCGTAGAGTGCAGGAATAATGAACGGAGTTATTTTTGCCACGTTATTGAACGGTTAAATATGTGTACTTGTATGTGTTAAAATGTCCGTCTTTGCAAGTATCCTCATAAACACAGTAATTAAGTGAGCGCAAACAGCTAAGAAAGAAATTACATGTGTAACAGTATATTGGATCCGGGGAGCTCTTAAAGTGAGAGCAGTCTAATATTCCAACATGACATTCATGTTGATCATACAACAAAAGACAGAAATATCTGATATCTCACTGCTCTTGACTAAATCACTTTTGTAACTTTAATGTATGCAGCATTTCTTATTTATTTGTTCTACTGTAGTTTTTTTTTTGTTTTGTTTGTTCTGTTGCTTGTAATTAGTTTCTTATTTTTATTTAATTGCTCTTCAGTGAGCTTTTTTTTTATTTTATTTAGTCTTAGTTTTTTTGTGATATTGACAAATTTCTATGGTATCAAAAAGGTTGATATCATAAAGACCTTATTTAAAACAAAAATAACTATAACAATATTGTGATATATGTCATTACCGTGAAATAAATTTCATATTGTGATATAAGATTTTGGTCATAAAAATCCCCTTTTCACCACCATTGCTTTTCCAGTGACATACGACTCAAATTGCCAGAGGAATATCCGATCTGTCCGTTTACATGGCAGACGCAAATGCACATATCCAATTCATATGAGATTTATTTCCACATGTGAATGAGGCCTGAAAGCGATCTGAGAATATCGGAATCCATGCGCTTTTTTTCCTGCTTATGCGTTCATGGGTCATATACGATCTGTGCCACATGGGAGGAAAAAAATCAGAATTGGGTCACTTTGAACATGTACTGTAAATGCGGCCTAAGTGACTTTGAATGTGACATGGGTGTTGGTGCCAGACGGGCTGGTCTGAGTATTTCAGAAACTGCTGATCTAGGATTTTCACGCACAGCCATCTCTAGGGTTTACAGAGAATGGTCCAAAAAAGAGAAAATATCCAGTAAGCAACAATTCTGTGGGTGAAAATGCCATGTTGATTCCAGAAGTCAGAGGAGAGCTGATAGAAAGGCAACAGTAATGCAAATAACCACTCATTACAACCGAGGTATGCAGAAGAGCATCTCTAACCACACAACGTTGAAGCAGATGGTCTACAGCAGCAGAAGACAAGGGGTGCCACTCCTGTCAGCTATGAACAGGAAACTGAGGCTACAATTCACACAGGCTCACCAAAATTAAGTAGAAGATTAGATGAATAGAATGCAAGATCGGATGAGTCTTGATTTCTGCTGCAACATTCAGATGATAGGGTCAAACAAAATGAAAGCAAGGATCCATCTGGCCTTGCATCAGTATTTCAGGCTGGTGGTGGTTCTAGGATTCACCCACCCGTTTTGCTATTTCCATGAATTACCGGTTCCATGAAAGCCCTGTATCAGTTCCTCTAAAAGCAGCAGTTGAACTGTAGATACCTATTATCACAGAGAAGAGCTGCAGTTTAATTGCCACCAAGAAGCATCATTTATTTGGGCCTTCATACGCCTGTATCTTCAAACTCTATATTAGACAAACCCTCAGCAGCACTGCGTTGGAAAGGAAAATAAGATATTGCTACTTCGCCTGAATGACTTTCTTACTGTGACAAGCCACAAACAGTCCAAAATAGATAACGCGATGGGATGGAGAACCTTTTATGTGCACGGCATCTCTGGCTCTTGACCTTGTAATAAATCTGTCTCTCAAGTCAGTCCGGTATCTCTGAAGGAAAGGTTATCCAATCAAAGACAGACATTACAGAAACATCGTTGCGGGTCAGATCAGAGGCTAATGTGGAGTGACTGTCTGTCTCTATTTGTCTATTTTCATGTTATATAATATTTCAATTCAGATCAAGGAAGAATGAGCCACATTGCTCGTGAATGACCGGCAGACGGACACTGAGCTCATCTATATCCATCCTTTTCTTTGTTTTTTAATAATCCTATAAATGTCAGGGGAGGTCTGGGGCTCTTCAGATGCCCTATTAATAATCATTAGGAGTCCAGCGGCAGCAGATGGGACCCCGCTCTGGTGTGTATGCCATGGAAATTTCCATTCAGAAGAAAGTCAGTCAGACTTTGTATGACACCGAGACCATCAACCTACACATACTCAACACCTAGAATATACAGCACGTTCATTAGCAAGGAAAGAATTGCAAAGGTGAAAATCACAGGATGTAAAACTTGAATCTAATTTAATTTAATACACACTTTTATTGTGATAACAACTAAAGTATTCGGGCAGAGCCTATAGGTACCATGCTACTATATATAGAAATATATATATGATGGTATTTCTAATATAAATATATATATATTAGTGCTGTCAAACGATTAATCGCGATTAATCGCATCCAAAATAAAAGTTTTTGTTTACATAATATATATGTGTGTGTGTGTGTGTGCTGTGCTGTGCTGTGTATATTTATTATGTATATATAAATACACAAACGTACAGTATATGTTTTGAAAATATTTACATGTATTTACATGCATATATTTACTGTATATTCATATAATTTATATTACATATAAATATATTTAATATATAAACATAACATATTTTTCTTAAATATATACATGCATGTGTGTGTATTTACATAAACATAATAAATATACACAGTACACACATATATTTGACATTCTAATTTATTGAGATGCACCTGTATGTACGCGTTTTATTTTTTTATTGTACTTGTTGTATTTTTAGGTAATGACATTAGCTAATGTTTTATTTTTGTTTTATGTATGATGGTAGCTGCTAGCTAATGTTATATTTTGTTTTATTTTATATGTGATAGTAGCTAATATATGCATTTCATTTTTGTTTTACACAATGTTAGCTAATATGCATCCTTTATTTTTGTTTAATATATGGTAGCTAAAGTTGTTTTATTTCATTTTATATACAATGGTAGCTAATATGCATGTTTTATTTTTGTGTTATTTGTATTATGGTAGTTAATATATATTTTTATTTTTGTTTTGGTAGCTAATATGTATGTTTTTTGTTGTTGTTTTAATTGTCCATGATGACAGCTAATATGCGTTTTGTTTTTGTTTTATTTTATGTATGGGTAGCTAATGTTGCATTTTTATGTATGACAAGCTAATATGTATGCTTTATTTTTGCTTTTGGTAGCTAATGTTACATTTTTGTTTTACTTTATATATGATGGTAGCTAATATATGTGTTTTGTTTTTGTTTTTAATGTATGATGTTAGCAAATATGTGCATTTTTTTTTGATGTATTTAAAGTATGATGGTAGCTAATGTGTGTGTTTTAATTTTGTTTTATTTTATGATGGCAGCTATATGTTTGACTTGTTGTATCATGCTAGATAATATGTATGTCTTATTTTTGTTTTATTTTATCGTGTTAGTTAATATGTACGCATGTACACCACAGAGACCATCAACCTATACTGTTTAGACTAGTCTTACAACTTATCTCACAAGTCATCTAATTTTTTTCTTTAAGACCGAATGTTTTCAAATCAGTTGCATAAAAATGTAGACTGGTCTAATCTGAGTAAATTAAGATTGATTACCCCTTGAATAACTGTTAGATGGTCAGACACAGTCTTAACATAGTAACTAAGTTAATTCAACCGGCCTCAGGAACAGAGACCTGGTTTATTAGCAAGCAAAGATGCTCATAAAAGGTGAAAAGCACAGGATGTTTCACATGGTGTTTATCTCGGGCTGAGCTGACCATCACACCTGATGTCAACCTCCTTATCACGAGTCAACACATGGACTGATTGGACTGTTGACATGGAGGCAAACAACATTCAAGGCTGACCTGCCTGCTAAACCTAACAGCAGACCCTCATTTACTCTCAGAGACCACATGAGAAAGTGCATCTGCAATCTGCTCCATTCTGTCTTCCCTGCACTGATTACAAAAGGAGAGACGGACAGCTTTTTAGCTCCGTCTGAATCTGTGTAAAGTCTGCCACCTACTGCTTGGCATAAGAAGTGGCACAGAACAATTAATCCAAACATGACACTCTTATTTCATGTCAGTATGTTTCCTAAAAGACAATATGAGTGTGATCACCAAACAGTGAGTCTTCAGCACTTATCTGCAAGCGCTGTGAGTCCACAAACCCTGTTATCAAATGTAATTTGCATTTCAAGTGGGTCCTTGTTCCCTCTGGATGGCATAAAAACAACACAGAATTAATATCATGGCCTTGTTGCTAATGAAAGTATGCTAATTAGGCAGTTATTTGTGGTTAATATAATGAAAAATTCAGAAAGTAGATATTATTGTGATGTACTCTTACAAAAAAATTACCATGGAAACAATAATTTCCACCAAAAAACCATAGGCTACTTGCTGCAGATATTGTTACAGTAAAGCAGTAATCAGATTTAATTTAATTTAAAATTTAATGTAAAATTTAATTGAAGTATTATGGTGACTAATATTTATGTTTTGTTTTATTTTATGTATTATGGTAGCTAATATGTATGTTTTGTGTACGATGGT